AGATCCCAATCTATAAAAGCCCAAGTACTGAACAACTCTTCAGGCGGAAATGATAACCGCCACCATTGAATCCGTCAGTGTCGATTGCATCCTTGTCTTACGGTACGGCGATTGCCAGCCATTCCTCCCCACCGTTTAACATAACTTCATTTTCAGGGTCTGGATGTTGTCACACCGAAAAAGCCAAAAAAGGCCTTACAAATTGAACAAAATACTACAGTATCATGCTCCTCCGCTAATTAGCGGGCAGATGATATATCAAAACGCCGTATACGCCTGACGTGTGACCTAGGCCAACTTTCTGTCACAGTAACATCACACATAACACGGTCCGAAATTTCCGGTCAAACAAAAATTACTGTATTCAATTTAACTGCTACTACAGGGATTGTGCGCCTTGGAACCGCGGCTGGGGAGGAACCTGGTCGAACATTGTCGTGGTGTGTCGCATCTGATTTCGGGTGTGTCGGACTTCAGGTGTCGTACTTGTGAGTTGTTGCATGTGGTTCAAGTCGGGAAATTGCAAGTGTAGGATAGCAGTTCCGGAAGGAAATATGGACCAAAGAAGAGGACTTGACCCACTGCATGGGCAGACGAGATAAAATCTCCCAGTCTCGTGTGAATGACGCAGAGCGACCGCGATTTGTGGAGATATCCTGATCCCACATTCGAGCTTCCTTTAACTGGCACTTTCCCCAGAAACAGCGGCGAAGAAATCAACACAGGGCAGCGCAATTCCTCGAACAGACCTTGCATCGAGGGACGTTGTTAAGTATCTGTCCCAACAATGCCATTGAAAGTGTGAGGAATGAACAAAAAAAAGAAAGACGATTGATTCGGAGGCTGTAACCTTCCCTGCCCCCAACGGAGTATCGTTGTCAGCCCCTCCTCAAGCAACGAAAATCTGGTGGAAAATCTGATTGAACTGTGCCATTAGTTAACGCCATCGACACATGTGGGAGACGCCATATGAATAATCTGATTACCGCTTTGTGGACATGTATCGCCATATAGCGCTGGCACTGGCAGCAGCGCCGGCATTTCGAATCAGAGCGACAAGATGAATGACTGACTGAACCTTGAAAGGCACGGTGTGTGCCGGCTGTCAAGGCGGAGTGGAATCAAGAAGCTCTGGTGAATAAATCGGTGAATAGAACTCGAGTACTCGCGATGGGATAGGACTCACGGTATGATAGGACGGTCCGACCCCACCAGAATCCAAAATACCGTTGGCCAGCTTCGGAAGGTATCCATATCCGCACCTATAATCACACACCGTAGACACCTCAACGATCTGTTCCGTGCTCGTCTGTGTCCCACCAATCAACTTCCGTCATAATTGAGGACGCATCCATCAGCATTCGATATCAATTAATCAAGTTTGATGCCTCGCGTCCGGCGTCGGACATCTCGATATGTTTACAGCTTTCTTGATTCTCAAAGGACGGGCGCAGCTCGTCTCTCGTAGACAGACGCTACAAACATGAAGAACCTCATACCTCGGTAGTTTGTAAGCAGCAGAATCCTCATTCTACCTCGTCAGCACCCTATTTCGACGAAAAAACTCGACTTCCATCCTCGTCCCTTATTCCCATAGTCCTGTGCTGGCAATGCTTGCCATCTGTGAGTCTCTGAGCTAAATTGGAAACCCAGCGGGCTGATATCTCTCCCTGCATCAGATGGCTTATGACAACAGAATCAGCTGTGCAGCTATACATCGAAGCTGACCTTTGTTGGTTGTGCGGACAGAAATAAGCCAACGCGGCTGTACATCAAATTCTGCTTCTCGGATCCAGGGTCTCGCAAGGACGGCTGGCGATCCCCATTTAATGGCTGGCACTCGGACGAAGTATCCCAGTTACCACTATCATCCCCCACTATTTGAGGTTCTACGAAAGAAAAAGAAATAATTGACCCAAAACTCTGGTCTCTTCCCCGTCATGGAGTCCATATTTCGACAATTGAGATCCTTCCAATTGGGATACACAGAGGAGCGCCGTAGGTTGCCGTCTTTCTTTCTGTTCTCATAAATTTACTCTATTTTTTGGTCAGCATATCCATGGAAGTGGATCACCCCAATCGTGCTGAGTGCGTTCTTCTTAATTTCGGTGTTCCTCGCCGCTCTGAATGGTGCGTGCCGGATTGCTGTGCGACACCAGCTCATGACAGCTGCAGTTCCGCTCTCCGCCTATAATATCGTGCAAGAATTCACATACCGTCCGAACGACACCCTTCCCGTTGTTGCACTGAGCAGTCTCGTCCCCTCGATGTTCCAACCATCTGACGCCGACAGCTTTACCCCACAGCTTCTGACAGTGGGCGATATCATCAGACTCAACGGGTCGCTCCTCGACTACACCATCGTCGCTGCTTTCGATGGTCTTGACGAGACTAAACCAGTTTCGTCCTTTTCATACTACAATAATCCATTTTCGGATGGTTGCGATGTGGTGCGTGTCCCTGAGCTTTCAGAAATCGAGCGGTTCTAATTCTTCCTGGAGACCAATGTCACTCTCCGCGTTGGCCTGGTACTGCTGAGCGGTTCTTTCTGGCACGCCGATTATCAGATGCTCGTGAGGATGGTTGTCATCATGGCTGCTGAGTGCTGAAATTGATGACGCCCGGCGCTGGCGCAGGTAGCCGTCACTTGCCGAATACCGACTCTCTTTCACCTGGTCTGGACTGGGTTCCCACCCTTCACGGTACTGCAAGGCCTTCCGCTGCTTGAAGGCATACCCGCTGTCATGTTCAACGACTTTGTGAGACTTTATTCATCTCGTGTACGATCCATCGGTTGATTTGTAGAACTCGATGTTCTCCGATTGGTACGACTTACCGCCCCTCCCGCCATTCTCGCTTAAACCATGAACGACCAGGTCCGTATCTGGCACTCCGTTCGCCACCGTAACGCAGGTCAACATCACTGTCACTGTGCATCCGTGTTGCGATTGTGATACGGCAGCGTCACCGGAAACCACAACTCTTCTAAAGCCACCATGTTCATCGAGACCTCCTCAATTCATGGCAACCGAAGCGCAGCTTCTGGACACCCATTCGGGGCCATTCAGCATCTTCGTCATGACAGAGCCCGCCATGATGTCCACAGGAGTACTGGAACAACTGGCAGGTGACCTTCCAAATGTCACTGAATCTGTCTTCAACAACCTCTTCCAAAACATATTCCAAGCGATCTACCATTTCGTCCGTCTGGATCTCGGAATTGTCGTTGACAATCAAATCTACAGCTCCCCACAGATGTTCAACCTCAGTATCATGCTTGCAAATAATCAACCCAGCTCCTATTATCCGTCTACGAGAGACCTCCGCGCCGCGACTTCCAATTCAACTCTCATGGCGCAGTGGAGGCAGAGGGTAGCATTCTATCAAAACAGTGATCGTGTCCCGATTATGGACTATCTGCGACCGGTCCCACGTCTGAAGCCGTTGGCCTCAGCGATCACGAGTGTATTTGTCTCCACTTTTGCGATGCTGTCTGTGTTGTGGACGATATTCTCCCTTGGTGCGGGCGCTCTTGCTAGACGTACTGGTCAGTTCCTGCCAATTTGCTTTATTACCTCACATAAAATTTGCAAAGCCCCACAGAGCGAACGATTGTCATCCACGGATGGGGATTTGGAGGGAATAGGCAGCAAGGATGGTAGGTTTTCTACCAATTGATTATGCGTTCACTTACGCGTGGAAGACTGTGGATGGGATACAAGCACCTCGTCCAGCTTTACTCTTCCCAAAGAGGGCCGGGCGCCCTGCCAAATTCCGCTCCAGAATCTACAGAACGACGTGAGAGAGCTTAGACGTACCTTGCACGGCATGCAACGTCTGCTGGAGAAACAAGGCCTCGTAGTTGACACGGATGGGCCAGACCTCGATAAGGATGTGCACGGGTCACCCGCGGGTCTACTTCGAGCAGACCCGGACCCGTACCCCTCTATACCCCACCCCTACAGGGGTACGGGTCTGTACTGTACCCCTCACACCCCTCAATAATTTTACAAACCCGCAGTGCTCATACCCGCGGGCTCAGAACCTGTCAAATTGCACTCCGAAGCTCAAGAACATGTAAATTGTGAGTCAAATAAACAACGATTATTTAGTTTGCAGCTACGTCTGCCTCAGTCACCTCTTCCGGCTCCGATACGGCGGGTCTCTTCGGACTGGCAACGTTCAGAATCTTGGTGCTGGCGAGATTGTTGTTACACCAAGACCCGAGACAAATGAAGTGCCGGATGGACTGGGCGGATAACCGGTTCCGGGTGAAGGAAAGGAGACGGCGGCCGCCGGAAAAGGCGCGGTATATAAGAAAGGAGGAAGAGGCTCGCAGCCTCACCTGCGGTGGGAGTACACTACGACTGTATGCTATGCTGCTATGCGATTCCATGATGCAAGCGTTGGGGGGGGTTGCTTCTTGCTTCTTTCTTCTTTTCCTTGAGATTTTTCCCTTGCGCGAGGACTCGCGCGGGTCCCTGAGCTGATTGAATCAGAATACTTGAAATAAAATATACACCCGCCTCGTCCCTTCTTCCTTCATCCTGCATTGTCTACCGTCTGCACATGGATCTACTTCATTCAGCTGATTGCGAGACTGGGCTATAAATCGGACGTGGTGTACGACACACAGTCAGCTTGCTTAACCAGGTATGTGTAAACATCGACGCTGGCAGTCCGGGGTTCGACTCCCCGCGTCCGAATGTTCCACGTCTCACATATTGTTTTTGTTGACATCTCATTTTACCTACATACTAGCAGCTCTCGACCCGTTCCCTCTTTTTTTTTCTTGGTCACGCAGGCAAAATCATTCTTGTTCTTGGGATATTGTCACACCCACATTATTAGATACAATCCGGATCCTACTGTAAAACACACCCCGCCTCGTCCTTTCCTTCCTTGACCCTGCACTGTCTACCGTCTGTAAATACGCGATTGATTACTTTTGCGGATCTACTTCACTGTAACTCAGCTGCTTGCGGGACTCGGCCTACAAATCGGACGTGGTGTATGGGGCACAGCCGGCTTGCTTTATCATGGAGACTCTATACTATAGACGCTGGCAGTCCGGGGTTCGACTCCCCGCGTCCGAATATCCCAACTATCGTCTGGTTTTTTTTTTTTTTTTGACGTCTCATTTTACCTACGAGCTGATTGAATCAGCATACTACTCGAAATAAGAGAGAAAAAATCAGATACTTATATATACATATTACTTGAAATACAATACAAAATACACACCCGCCTCGTCCCTTCCTTCCTCACCCTGCTGTCTACCGTCTACCGTCTGTAAATACGCGATTGCTTTTGCGGATCTACTCTACTCAGCTAGCTGCTTGCGAGACTCGGCCTATAAATCGGACATGGTGTACGGCACACAGTCGGCTGCTTATGGAACTTGCATCCACAATATAGACGCTGGCAGTCCGGGGTTCGACTCCCCGCGTCCGAATATTCCAAGATGGTCAGCATTTTTTTTTTGGACATCTCATTTTACCTACGAGCTGAGTGAATCAGAATACTCGAAATAAGAGAGAAAAAATCAGATATATATACATATTACTTGAAATAAAATACACCCCTGCCTCGTCCCTTCCTACCTTTATCCTGCACTGTCGACCGTCTGCGTCTGCACGCGATTGCTTTTGTGGATCTACTTCATTGCGAGACTCGACCTATAAATCGGACGTGGTGTACGGCACACAGTCAACTTGCTTTATCATGCATCTATACTATAGACGTTGGCAGTTCGGGGTTCGACTCCCCGCGTCCGAATGTCCCAACTATCGTCTGGATTTTTTTTTTTTTGACATCTCATTTCACCTACGCGCTGATTGAATCAGAATACTCGAAATAAGAGAGAGAGAAATCAGATACTTATATATACATATTACTTGAAATACAATACGAAATACACCCCCGCCTCGTCCCTTCCTTCCTCACCCTGCTGTCTACCGTCTACCGTCTGTAAATACGCGATTGCGTTTGCGGATCTACATACTTCACTCAGCTAGCTGCTTGCGAGACTCGGCCTATAAATCGGACGTGGTGTACGGCACACAGTCGGCTTGCTTTGACGATATCGCTATACTTAGTCGCTGGCAGTCCGGGGTTCGACTCCCCGCGTCCGAATGTCCCAACTTTGGTTGACAGTTTTTTTTTTTTTTGACATCTCATTTTACCTACTACTTAGCTCTCAATCCCTTCCATCTTTTTTTTTACGCAGGCAAAAATCATTCTTGGGATACTGTCGCACCCACATTATTAGATACGTATATAAATCCGGATCCTACTGCAGGACTATACGTATCAATACCCTCAAACTTCGTGCACCAGCCAGCCTTAAGTTCCACTTGATGCAGAACCGAATTAAGCAGGAAATCGGATGTGGTGTACGGTGCACAGCCAGCTCGCTTTCCCGATATCGCTATAGTCGCTGGCATTCCGGGGTTCGACTCCCCGCGTCCGAATTTGAACGCTCCACGTCACATTTTTTTTTTGACATCTCATTTTATCTTAGCTCTCAACCCCTTCCATCCTTCTTTTTACGCAGGCAAAATTATTCTTGGGATATCGTCACACCCGCATTATTAGCTAGATGCAATCCGGATCCTACTGTAAAACACACCCCCTTCCTTCCTTGACCCTGCACTATCTACCCTCTGTAAATACGCGATTGCTTTTGTGGATCTACTTCACTCGGCTAGCTGCTTGCGAGACTCGGCCTATAAATCGGACGTGGTGTACGGCACACAGTCGGCTTGCTTAACCATCTAGCAAATTCCCGCTATAGACGCTGGCAGTCCGGGGTTCGACTCCCCGCGTCCGAATGCTGTAAGCGTCGAATATTTTTTTTGACATCCCATTTTACCTACGAGCTGATTGAATCGGAATACTCGAAATAAGAGAGAAAAAATCAGATACTTATATATACATATTACTTGAAATACAATACAAAATACACCCCCACCTCGTCCCTTCCTTCCTTCCTTGACCCTGCACTCTACCGTCTGTAAATACGCGATTGCTTTTGTGGATCTACTCTACTCAGCTAGCTGCTTGCGAGACTCGGCCTATAAATCAGACGTGGTGTACGGCACACAGTCAGCTTGCTTTCAATACACGGGACTTCGATATAGACGCTGGCAGTCTGGGGTTCGACTCCCCGCGTCCGAATGTCCCAACTTGGGTTTGGAATTTTTTTTTTTGGGGGGGGGCATCTCTTTACCTACATACTAGCAGCTCTCCGAGTCAACCCCTTGCCTCTTTTTTTGTTTTGTTTTTCATGCAGGCAAAATCATCCTTGGGATATTAATCGTCACACCCACATTGACATTATTAGATACAAATCCCGGTGCATGAAGTTTGCGGGTATTGATATGTATGCTCCTGCAGTAGGATCCGCCAGCCTCAAGTTCCACTTCATGCAGAACCGAATTAAGCAGGAAATCGGATGTGGTGTACGGTGCACAGCTGGCTTATCTCCGCAACACTCGATAGATCGCAGGCAGTCCGGGGTTCGACTCCCCGCGTCCGAATATTCCAATTAGTACGCAGCATCTTTTTGTCCGTTCACAAAGTTGTCTGATCGCTCTTGAAGCTGAATTTAAGCGTAAGTTTTTTCAACACATTTCTGGTGTTTTCCCGAGGTAAGGATATCAATTCTTCGAGATATTTTGTGCTGGACAAAGTAAAGGACATTCAAGTTGATATGTACATACACTCGAACTAACCTTAGCAAGACATCGGACATGGTGTATGGCACACAGCCAGCTTCCTTAGTGCATACATGACGAGAAAAAAGTCGCTAGCAGGCCGGGGTTCGACTCCCCGTGTCCGAATACATTGCGATTATTTTTTTACCCCCCTTCAAACTCTTTTTCCTCTTGAGCTTTGGGGAGGTATTGAACTAGGCAGGAAATCGGATGTGGTGTACGGCACACAGCCAGTTTCCTTGCTTGGAATCGAAAAGTATGCCTAGAATCACTGGCAGTCCGGGGTTCGACCCCCCGCGTCCAAATGTTCCACATCTCACATATTGTTTTTCTTGACATCTCATTTTACCTACTAGCTCTCAACCCCTTCCCTCTTTTTTGTTTCACGCAGGTAAAATGATTCTTGGGATATTAATCGTCACACCCACATTGTTAGATGCAGATCCGGATCCTACTGCCGGAGTATACATATCAATACCCTCAAACTTTGTGCACGAGCCTCAAGTTCCACTTCCTGCAGAACCGAATTAAGCTTAAGCAGGAAATTAATCAGATGTGTACGGTGCACAGCCGGTAGTCTCGTGACCAGACTCTTATGACATCCCAAAGGGTAGACTCGCGACCAGTCTGTTCCCACGCACCGATCACGAGGGCAAGAAGATCGGTGCTGTGGGAACGACTGGAACATTTGGTTGCTGATTTGGCAGATGGCGCCAATTGTGGTTTTGGACTTAGGTTTTTCACCTCTCCATGACCTCCTGTACCCTCAAAAAATGTATCAAAAGTTGTATAGACAAAGTTGCATAGTTTTCAATTTTGAGTCGAATGAGCGCAACTTGTTTTTTGGAATAAATTTGAGTTTTTCAGGCACATCTGGCGGTTTTTCTCATCCTACTACCACCGTACAAGTACAATATGCACCAGAACTCACCAGAACTCACCACTAACATCTCAGTTCCCTCACAAACATCTCAGATACTTCAGAAACAATTCAGCCATCACCGAAGTCGCGGTCACGACACATCATTCATGAATTTGAACGCGTAAATAGGCTGGCTAGTTTAGGATCTACAGGTAACTGTGCAAATTCCGCTCTAATCTCCTCTGCTGTCTGCCGTTTTTGTCTTCGGGTGGTTGAAGCAGAATTGTTTGTGCCGGCATGCGGGGATTCCGCGGTGCCAGCAGCGGTGATAAGCGGCTGTGTTCTGTCATCGACGTTCCCTCTTCGACGCGTTTGCGGACGCCCCTCGTCAACGTTGCCCTCAGCTCCCATCCCACTACCCTCGGCTGTCTCTGGTCGGGGATGTTTGGGTGCACGCGTCTTCTTGGGTAGCGGCTTCATCGGGGGAATTGATAGACTCGACAAGAACAGGTATAAAGACTCGCCGTATTCGTCGATCCATAACCACTGATCAGACAGTGTTTTCTTCAGGTGATTCATCGACGTTATAGGTCCGACCGACGCCAGGAGGGCCGCTGTTTCGTCTTTGAGGATCATTGAAGGTGCGTACAATGGACCGGGAAAGTCTTTTGTCTTGATTTCTGTCCGCCACTTATCCAGCTCTTTCTGGACATCCACGTTAACCTCGCCTCGTTTCACAGCGGACTGACGGGCCACTGGGGGTAATTTACCCGGCCGTACAATGTCGAGAAGATCGGGACAGCAGATATCACAGCAAGGCGCCGTTGGAGCTGTGAGTACATTTAGCAAGAGGATGCGCGCAACTGATCTACTTACCCGGTGCCTTGTTCTGATAGATTTCCGTCAAGACCAGACGACGACAGAGACCTGTTTGCACGAGAACATGTAGGCCTTCGTTGGCTGCCTCTGGATCTAGCGGCGGGGTATCATGTACGAAGATCGCATCGTGTTTCCCCCCTACGGAGCCCCGATTAACTCCCCGTGCTTTGGCATGGGCTTTACGTTTCTGTGCCTGCCGTTTCTTCGCTGTTGCCGACTCGACAGCCTGGTCTACCCTTCCCTTGCCTTGTTTGGCCCGCGCAGGCGCCGCCTTCGCCGCGATCTCCTCTTCTACATCAACGCCGTATGCGCTCTGCTCAACCAATAAGACAGCTAGCCCCGAGCGCCCGGAACCTCGTGCAGCTCGTCCTGCGCGCTGCACAAAGATGGAGACCGACCCTGGCAGCTTCCACTGGACTACGAGATCGATATCCGGGATGTTACAGCCCTTGAAGCAAGGTCAGTCACGTCTCGCTTCTTAAATGTCAAGGCTTACCATCCCAGCAGCATCGGTACACACCAAAACCCGAATTTCACCACTTTTGAAAAGTCGCATAGCCTCCCTTCGGTACTCCTTTGACAACGCAGCATTGTAGGGACGGATTAAGCCCTTCCCTCGATCCTCTGGCGGGAGCAC